CCCCCTGACCCTCTCTCTGAATTTCCTGCAGGAGCTGACTATGTAGCCACTGGCCAGCCCTCGGCACCAGCCCTGACCCCAGCTCTGCTGCTCAATAAAAGGGTGTCCCCATCACCTCTCTCCTGCTCCAGCTGCTCCCCAAGCGTAGCCTCTAGCTAAACGGGATGTGAGGAGACATGAGGATGCTCCTGGAGCCACACGACACCCAAGGGTGGCGGTCGTCCCGAGTCCCCACAGGGTAGGGGACCGACTATGGTGTTCCATCCCCATGTCCCAGGGGTGCCCAATGTTCCCCGAGGTTGCAGGCAGTTGGGTCACTTGGCTGTGGCCCAAAGTGTGGGCCAGGGAACTGGAATTCCTTAAGAACTCCTCAGACCCAGGGCGCCCAGGAAGTTCCACAGGGGCAGCGGGGCTGGAGGGCTGCAGGGAGACGGCCTTTGCTCAGAGGGTTGGCAGTTAAGCCCCCAAGGTTCTCGAAGTCTCACTGGGGCCAGTTCTAGGAGTCACCGTGCCTTCCACATGTCCCTTCTCTCCAGAATACAGGGACCCAGAGTGGAGTTCACGTCCCAGGACAGGGTGCACCAATATGCCAGGAGTGTGGGGGACCTGCAGGGTGGGGCCCCTGAGGGGAAGGAGAGGTTCCTGGCCGTCCACACATGCCACACCTCACTGCACAGGGTGCCTGCTCCCCCCGGGCTGCCTCCTCACACAGTCAGGGTCTGTGGGGCAGAGGCACCATCTGAGTGAGGGGTGTCCTGAGCCTCCCCACTCCTGTCCCGTCTCCAAGCTCCACCTTAGGGTCACCCCCACTGCCTTCCCACATTCAAAGGGCACAGGAGGGAGACTGAGGCCAAGGGGCTTGGGTGGGAGGTGAGGGCACAGTGCCCCCACCAGTCTCCCTGAAAACCAGGATCCCAGGCTCTATGATCATACGCTTTCAGTGTGGGGACAGTGCTTCTGGTGGGGGGAAAGGGGATGACAGGTGAGACTTGGGGTCATTAGCAAGAGGCCAGAGCACAGCCCATGCCCCTCGGGGCACCTGGTGCCGTCTCCACAGTGAGAGCCTGACACTCCCATCTGAAGGCGCTCGGGACACCTGTTTCCTGCTCATGTCCAGGAAGCAAAAGCCCCCCAATCAGGTCCCCCCATTGGCCTGCTCAAGAGCTGGACAGTGTTAGCCCTGGGCGTGACAGCCTGCACGGCCAGGGACACCGGCTCCCACCAGGATGAGCAACACGCTGGCAACCAGAGATAAATATTCACATTGCAGTAAACTTCCTTTAAGGTCTCTCAGAGTTTCGGTAGGAACGTCATGTGCAAAATGACAGCTGTCCGGGCTCTGGTGGGCAGGGCCCTTCCCGGCACAGCTGCAGGTGGCTGGGGCAGCCTCCGCCCCACCCTGTCTCCTTCACAGTAGAGGCCCCTGCACCCAGGCCCAGCCAGTCCCAGCCCGCACGGGGAGGGCAGCCGCGGGCACCAGCGTGTCAGGCTGAGTCCTGGTCCATGCTGCAGCCCAGCGCCTCGATGTCATTGCTGATGTCTGAGATCATGCGGTCCCACTCGTCCCCCTCGGAGGGCGCGGACTGGTCATCGGAGCTGCCCGCGGCCCTATTCCCATTGGAGGTGGAGGTGGAGGTGGAGCTCACGGCCCTCCTGTACCGGCCAAAGCTGTCGGTGATGATGCCGCGGCCATCCTTCACGCCGATGGTCTCGAGGAAGTTCTCGAAGTGCTGGCTGTCCTTCTCGGGGATGAAGGGCCGCAGACCTAGGGACACAGCGCATGCTGACCCCACATGTCCTGTAGGCAGCAGCCCCGGGGACCCTATGCCAGGGATGCCCCAGATGGAGGAGAGACAGGAGGGGGCCCCAAGCAAGGTACTCCCACTGCCCAGCTGCATTCCCAGGTCTGGGGGACCACTCACTTCTGGACAAGACTGGGAAGACGCCCTGAGCTGGGGTCGGGACCTCGGACTGCTAGGGCAGAGCCCAGGACTCAGGAGCCTCTACTGGCTGCTGCCCCAGCCCGTTTTCTGGGGTCAGCAGGGTGGGCACAGTGGACCCAGGGCGCCCAGCTCACCCAGCAGCAGGAACTTGCGGCTGTCCCCGTAGAGCCGCCGCAGGTTGATGCAGAACTCATGCACCGAGGCCCCGTCGCGGTACTCGTGCAGCAGTGCCGCGAACTGCTGGATCTCCTGCGAGGACAGCTTGGTGCGCAGCTGCAGGGAGCAGGTGGTGAAGGGAGCAAGGGCCCAGAGCCACACCCGCCCTCCGGACACACCGCAGCCCCTCTGCCACAGGGGCAGCGGCCAGAGCACCCCCAGCTCCTCCCCCAGCACGGCCCCGGTGGTGGGGGCGGCCTACCGTGAGCATGTAGTCCTGCAGCAGCTCGGCGGCTGTGGCACTCAGCTCGCTCTCGCTGACTGTCTTGGCATGTGGCACTGTGGGCACACACTCGGGGAAGGAGCTGCAGGGACACAGTCCTGCCCTGTACCTGTGCCCGTGACACCCCGCAGGGCCCAGAGAGCACAGGGGATCAGGGCAGGTGACAGGAAGGGGCCTGCCGTGGGGGAAAGGGCATAGCAGGTTGGGAGGGCCTGTAAAGTGACAGAACCCAACAGGGTCTCACAAAGTGTTGCCATCAGCAGTGTGACCTTGGGGAGCCCCCTAGACAGAATGGGGGACAGGGGACCTGAGGTGGGGGTGCACAAGGGCAGGAACTCACAAGGTGCTGGCGTCTATCTCATATGGCTCCTTCATGTCCACCTTAGTGGAAGAGTCGTCTGCAGGGAGATGCAGAGAGAGGCCTGGGTTACGGGGGTGGCATCCACGCAGGGCCCAGCTCTCAGCAGGCCTTCAGGGGCAAAGCATGGGCCTGGGGACTCCTCCTTGGGGCCTTGTGAGGTGGGAGTGAGGCAGAGGGTTCCCAGAGTTGAAAAAGGGAGAAGGCCTGTGGGGGGGCCTGGAGGGGTTGGCATGGGCTCCACCAGCAGTGTCCTAAGGCTTTCACTCTCCTTCCTGAGCCTGGCAGGATCACCATGGCAGCCCACGCTCAGGTGAGGGGCTTGGTGCACCCTGCCCTGGGTCACATAGCTGGCAAGCACAGAAGCCATGACTAGCTCTGACCCCAGCCTAAACCAGCCCAGCTCCACGTGGGGACAGCTGCTCCCCAGGGACAGAGATGGGCCCTGGACGCCAAGACCCTCAGACACACTGGACAGTAACCTAAGGTCTATGTGACAGACCATGAGGGACCCTGAAGCACTGTTACATGCAGTGACCTAGAGCTGAGGGAGAGGCAGGTGCCAGAGTGTGGGGCTGTGGGAGAGAACGGGAGAAAAGGGGATTTTACCGCCTATGGGAGCAAAGGCAGGGTGGTGGGCAGAGGAGTGGCCTCCAAGGATGTCATGTCCAAATCTGGGACCCGTGACCATGCTAGGTGACGTGGATGGGAGAGGAGGTGGCCGAACTCTGACCTAACACAAGGAGCCTGTCCTGGGCTACTCCGCACAGAAGGCCACACTGGCTGCTGGGCCTCTAACCTCCCGTGTGTCTGACTTATAGAAACCACGACCCTCAATAAACCACAGATTTCAAATGCAGCAGACGTGGCTACAGTGGGCTGTGTGCACATGCAGCGTCTTGTGCGCCGAGTGGGCAGATGTCTGAAAGGCTTCGGACCAGCGTGAAGGGTGGGGGGCGCCCCAGTGGTGTCCTGGTCCAAGCCTTTGGTGCTCCTTCACTCTACCCCAAGCCGCCGCCACCGCCACCACCCCAGCAGCCTTCATCCTGGGAGGGACCCACCCCAAGGGAAGCAAGCCTGGGCAGCTGGAGGAAGGTTCCTGCAGCCACTCACAGCCCCAGCATGGGAGCCCCTCCTGGCCCGTTCTGAGGCAGGCAAAGTGACCTTAGCCACATGTGGTTCAAGAATGGCCTTCCCAGCCCCAAAGTCATGCAGGAGCCCACAGACTGGCCTGGGGTGGGCGGGGGTGGGTGGGGCAGGAGACAGCTCTGTCTTGACTACACTTGCAAGGAAATGTGAATAGTGAGGTCTGGAAGCCAAGGCGTCAGCTCAAACCCCAGGACCCCAGGCATGGCAATAAGGTCCCTGGACACGAACGCTGCCCAGGCAGCCTGTCCCTGTGACAGGAGAGCCCTTGGGGAGAGGGGACGGGCCCCGCTACCTGCAGGCCTCACTCACCGCTGTGGAGGGAGAGGTGGTGGGTGGGGGTCGAGGCCCCATCAAATATGGCTCTGTCCAAGAAATCGATGGTGGACTCAGTGTACACAATCTGGAAGACCTGCCCGAGCAGGGAGCACAGCTCCTCCGCCGCCACCTGCCATGGAGGACAGAGGTCACCCACCCGCCAGCATGCTCCCTGCAGCTCATCCCACTGCCCTGCCGGCCACCACCCTCACCACTCATCCTAGCCTGGGTGGGGCCGGAGGACAGCATTCCCACACCACGGGCTCCACACGCCTGCTGCTGAGGCAGGACCCCAGGGTTCAGGCAGTGTTGAGAGGGGCCTCTAGTGGGGATGGCCAGGGAAGCAGCCCACAAGGAGGACCGCCTGCTGCGTCACCACTGTCTCAGGTGTGGAAACGGAACAGAAGCTGCCAAGGGGTTCCTGGAGGCTAGTGGCCCTAAAGTGGCTGATGTGGCCCCAAAGCCTAACCCACCACTCCCAGGAATCCTCCTGCAGGGCACAACCTGGGGTACAGGGAAACACCCATACCCCATCATATACAGGAGGGGGGGGGCTGAGGAAGAGAGGAGCCATGCAGCAGAGCCCAGGAGGCACCACTCAGTGGTACTTGGAGCCTAAGTGAGGCTGTGGGTGGGGCCTGGGTCAGGTGTGAGGGGTTGGGCCTGGTCCCTGCTTCCAGCTGGCTCACCTTGCTCTCCGTGGCCAGGATCACCAGGCAGCAGGCCTCCACAGGCCCCACTCCACTCTCGGACAACGAGCCTGCAGTGAGGCCTCTGGAGCTCTCTGCACACAGACTCTGGCTAGGGGAGATGCCGGGGTCCTGGGCTGAGAAGTCAACACAGCAGCAGGTCAGAGCAGGTGGGAAATCTCAGCAGCAGGCTCTTGGCTGCCCCTACCTGGTTCAGGTGGGGACAGGCCACACGCCTTCCACTGTCTTCTCTAAGCAAGGGAAGGGTATGGGTGAGCAGCGCCATCTTCAGCTGCCCACAGACCTTCACCCTACGTGACCTGCCAGCATCCTCGCAAAGACGCACGAGCAGCTGGTGTTCAGCTTCTGATCCCCAGAGAAGGTGTTGACAAGGCTCCAGTTAAGATACAACGGGCCATGAACACAATCCTGACAGATGGGGAAACTGAGGCACGGGGCAATGTGCAGGGCGAAGAGCATGTGATGGACAGAGTCCAGACAGGGACCCAGACTGAGAGCCCCACCCATGCTCCTAAAACCAGGGGCTCCGCCTGGGTCCTACTCTGAGTGCCTGAACAGCTGGCTCTCACCCCTCCCTGCCAAAGCCGTGGGCTGAGTCCACCTTCATATTTACTGTGGAGACTTAATGAGAAGATTCCTTTCACAGCCTTTGCACTAGTTGGAGCCACATAAATTGCCATTTTTGTAGATTAAAGTTGAATATCAGCAGTTTTGTGTTGTTCAATTTAAAGTAACGTGTCATTAAATAGATGCCCATTGGACACAGGAAGGAAAACGGGAAGCGAGAAGAGGGGAGCTTGCTCAGTGCAGGTGACAGGCAGGGTGTGAGTGCACGTGTGCATGTGTGCGTGCATGTGAGAACGTGTGTATGGGGGGGTCTAAGCATAGCTGCCTTAAGCTAAGGGGCTGTAACTCGGGCAGCCATGGTGTGGGTGGCCAGCAACAACCCTAGGTGACAGGCGGGAGCATCCTGACCACCTTGCCCTCCAGAGCTGACCCCGCCCAGACAGTGGTAAGGATGCTCCCCAGGGCTCCAGCTCTGAAGATCAGCCCTCGATTCCCCGTAACCGCCGGCCTCCCTCTGCACTGCCTGAAGTACAGTGCATGGCCCAGGTGGGTCCCTCGGCTACCCTTATACCCTAGCCTCCTGGAAATGAACAGCTTCGGGACAGTGCCTGACAGGTCCAGGACAGCATCTGCGTTGTAGCACCAATCTTTGAACCCCACCAGGAGGGCCCAGTGCCCATTTCTCAGGGCAGAGGCTGTGGGCCTAATAGCTTGTCTTCAAGTGCCCAGTGAGGCAGCTCTACTGCTGGGAGGAGAGGCTGCATAAGGTCCTTCTGAGTCCCCTCCAAGGGCCCACTCGGATCAGCCCACAGCCCAAAGTCTCCCTGGGGGTCTGGCCTCACCTTTGCACCCCAGCTTTGGGAGGACCACATGGCCAAGGCAGGGCCCAAACATTAGTCATGCTGAGCGGAGGCCTCACCACAGCCTCTGGTCTGCCAGGCCTGGGAGTTGCAGGATACCCCAGTGTCCCGAAGGGGCAGCACTGAGCAGAGCACAAGGCTCAGAGCAAGTGGCCAGGCTCAGCACCTACCCCTGGGGACCTCCTAAGTACTGCCTTCCTCTGACTGAGGCCGACCCCAGGGACAGGAGGACTGCTTCTCAGATACAGTGAGTGGCAGCAGCTGGCCCGATGCTACAGGGAATCTCTCCAGGGCTCTGTTCGGTGCAGACTCCTCAGCAGAGACGGGCAGCATACGCGGAGACCCTGCCTGGCCCCACCGCCCAGGCTGGTACCTGTCTTCAGGACCACCAAGTGCGAGGCGTCATCCCGCACATAGGACACTGCAGCGATGTCGTGGATGGGGACCCTAAGGATGGTGTCCTCCCCATCCCTCCAGGCCAGCTTGACGTTGTAAGCAGACAGGCTGATGACTGCGTCGTGCTCCTGGGTTAGGTGTCCAGGAAGCTGGTGGGCTCTCTGGAAGGGACACAGGCGTCAGACACACAGGGGCTCTGAGACCTCACCGTGCTCACCATGGGGCTCCCTGGAAATGCCTTCAGATCCAGACCCACAGCACGTGATTGCATGTCTTGAAAATGTGGAAACAGAACCATGAGGAGCATGTCTGGGGAATAAACTCATGTTCAGACCAAGGAAACAAACGTGATGGGGCTGGTCCTCTCTCGCAGCCGTGAAGGCCCAGGGTCAGAGGACCAGGAGCTGCTGCCAGAGTGTGAGGGTCAGAGGTTGGGGTTAGGAGGTGGAGCAGGCCGAGGGCCGGAGGCGGGGTTGGAGGTGGGTTACCTTTGCATTGTCTATGAAGTGCAGGATCTCGGTCCTGCTGGACGGGTTCAGGTAGCCCGGGATGGATGTTAACTGACCTAAGTACTGAGAGAGCAAAGAGAAAGGCCATGAGAAAGGGGATGACCAGGAGCACCCAGCCTTGCGCCTGTCACCAGCTGCTGCTTTGATTCCTCTGGAAGCGTGGCCTCTGCGAAGCACCCTGAGTTCTGGAGAAGACTCGGTGCGGGAAGCAGTCCACACTGCCTGCCATGCCGCTCTGTGCTGCCCCAAAGCTCTGATCGCTGCAGCCGGACAGCACACCCAACACTCCAGTCACCGCCGAGGGCCGGCAGCAGGAGAGGTGCGCAGAGGGACCAAGTGACGAGCCCACCAGCACAGGCTTAACTGCCTGTCTCCTGTGTGGGGGGTCTGGAGGCGACACGGCGCATGTCACCTGTGTCCCTCTGATGTTTCTACACTGACAAGGCCTTTCCTGTGTTCTCAGTGCCCAGGGACTTGTTCCCATAGCAGACCTGCCCTCCACACTTCCCCTCCTCACAGACACACACACGTGCGGTCACCGTCTCAACAGGTGACCCGGACGTCCGTCCCCTGCTCAACACGTAAAGGGCCTGGGTATCCTGATCCTGTCCTCACAAGAAAAGCCCAACAAACTGAAAATCAACAATTTTTCTAGGATCCACCAGACAGCAAGGTCGCAGAGGTTGCAGAGGTGAGCCCCACGGATGGGGCCAGGAGGGGAGCTGACCAGGTGCTGGGCGTGGGGGAGACAAGCCTGAGACAGAAGTTTTGGGGCCAGGCGCCAGGTGACGACAAAAGCAGACCAACAGGCTTTCACGAAAATTTTAAAGTTTTGTCCTCAATACACTATCCACACAGTAAAGAGGCAACCTGCAGGCCAGAACAGGAGGCGACATTTGCAAGGCTCTGAGGCCAGCACATGGGACTCACTTTCTGTTTTCAGAACTGTTCCCGCTCTTCTGTTCTGTTGTCTTTCCACATAAACTTTGGAATAACCTCTACATCTATAAAACATCCTGTTGGGATTCTGAAAGGAGTTGCTCTGGCCAGTCTGGGGAGCACTGGCGTGTGGCCCGGGCGGCGTGTCCAGCCCTGAGCTCAGCCTGTGTCACCCACTCTGACCTGTGGTCACTTTCCCAGCGTGGTGCCCTCTCCAGCGCACAGATCCTGTATACCTGTGGTCACCTGAGTGCGGGCACCTGAGTGTCTCACTTGTAAGCAGCATAAACGGTGTTGCATTCTCAGCTCTGGTGCCCAGCTGCATGGGCTCCCGGCGCCGGCCCATGGCCTCCCTGTCCGCAGCCGTCTCCTTCCTGCTCTGTCTCTCACCTCCTCCAGCTGTGCCTTGTTTCTTACCTATTCCCACTGTACTGATCTAGGGGGGAGTCTATCCAGTGTCCCGGGCACAGGCTTTGACAGGACTCCAGAGACCTGCGTCTGGGCTGTGACCAAAACCAAGGAACCAAAAACCCACAGCCAGCCCAAGAAAGGCGGCGCTCACTACCACAGGGGGGCTGGGAGGGACCAGAGGCAGGAGTCTGGGGGTTGGGCACTGAGCTGTCAGACAGGGCACCAGGCTCTGCAGACAGTGGCGGGCCTGGTGGGGGGCGCGCAGGGTGGGCACTGACCTTCACCTCCTTCTCGATGTAGTCGCTCAGCAGCCGGTCAGGCTCCACGCGCTCGGGCAGGGACAGCACCACAGTGTGCAGGGGCCGCCGCTCGGCCACCCTCTCGTGGGCTTTCTTATCTCTGCTCTTCTCTCCTTTGAGGAAGACACGCTTGAAAGGGGACACGATTCCAGGCTGCGGGCAGAGAGGCACCGGTTGGCCCTGGATGGTATTGCTCAGTGGTTAGAGCATCGGCCCTCAGACTAAAGGGTCTCGGGTCCGATTCCAGTCAAGGGCGCGTCGTACCTGGGCTGCAGGCTTGGCCCCAGCCCCGGCCGGGGTGCGTGTGGGAGGCAGCCAATCAAGTGTCTCCCTCACTCCCATGTTTCTCTCTTTCCCCCTCCCTCCCACTCTCTCTAAAAAATCAATGGGTAAAAATACCCTCGTGTGAGGATTGACCACAACAAAAAAGCAGAGAAACGGCACCGGTTGCAGGTATCACTGGCACAGGCTCTGCACAGAAGTGGCTGCCGCCACCACGTCCCGACGTGCACACACGGGCTGTGGGGAACAGCACCCAGATGCCACAGCAGGTGGGCTGAGCCCTCACCTGTGCACGGACACCTGGAAGGTCAAGGACCCATTCCCAGAGGGGGGCAAGAGGGCAGAAAGGAGGAAACTCCCCCAGACAACAAAATCGGAGGGTTCCCCAACCCTCAGGGATCCGTGTGTCACTTCACTGCAGGACCTCAGAGAGGCCGGGGCAAGTGCCACCCAGGCTGTGGCTCGGCAGTGGATGGCAGGGCATGTCCCCCGCACCCCACCCGCCACCTTCCCTCACTGTAGGAAGAGGGTGTGTCCCCTCTGCACACCCCTCCCCCTGCCAGGGCCTGGGGGCTCCAGGCTCCGGAACCAGTGCCTGGGCAACCTCACACCCTGGTCAGAGTCTGGACGGGCCTGGAGGCTCACTCTACAGTCACGGGTGGGAGAACAGGGGGACTGCTGTGAGCCCGGAGGGCGCACACCTGCTCTGTAACTGCAGGAAGCCCTGAGCACTCCCAGGTACGCGTCCGCTGCGGGGAAGCCGCTGTGCACAGAGGCCGAGAGTCACTGTTTCCGGGCGTCTGAACACACACCAGAGAAAACAGGCACCGACAGGCAGGGAACTTCCCAGACACAGGTGAAGCCAGAGCTGGAGCCTCGGGTCACCTTCCATCCCCGGGGACCCCGTGGACAGTGGAGGCTGGGCTACAGCAGGCCCAGCTCTGCCCGGAACTTACAGAAACAAACACAATCATACTTTAGCAACATTTTTTTCTTCTTCTTTTTAAATGTGTGTTTATTGATTTCAGAGAGAGGAAGGGGGAGAAACATCACTGAGAGTCACTGATCAGTTGCCTCCCGCATGGCCCCACCCAGGATTGAGCCCACAACCCGGGCGTGTGCCCCGACCGGGAATCGAACCGCAAGCCCCTGGATCCTACGTTGGTGCTCAACCACTGAGCCACGCCGGCTGGGCTGAGCCACCCCTGCAGCCGGGTCCACACATGCACCACCGCCCCCCCCCC